AAACAACACCTGCTATTTCAAAACAATCACTCAATCCTTTCTCTGCAATTATAGAGAACATAATTCTCTTATTGCATGTGGAGGAGTTACACACACAGTTAAGTGCACATTAGTCTTTTTGCTGGAGAATCCTTTAACTTATATTGTAGAACTGCTATTACTCTGATAAGGGAATTCAGTTTGCACTTGGGCACTTGATAGAGCTAATTCACCACCATCGCTTCCTCATTCTCCCCTGTGACATTGTCCAGAGGGAAAGTTGACTCTCTGGTTGGCATATATTTAGAGCTTCTTTAGAGAATACTCCATACAGTCTTGGACACTCTAACCTGTCTGCCACCTTGACAATCCACCATCTTCTCAGTTCCACTGATGGGGGGAGAGAGAGTTTATCTTAAACCTTCTGGATGCTCCCACCAGGCTTGTATTTGCAGTGTGATGGTTGGTGGGGACCTTTGAAGCAATGGCAAAATTCTGAGGTTTAGGAGAGGACTCCTTCCAATTTTACCCACAATAGTTGCAGGTCCTCTTCCTTGGCATTCATTATCTCCCAGGTCTTACTCCTGTTTTCCTGTAGAAAATGACTCAAGGCTACTCACTGTAATGTTAACAAGTGTCTGTCTATTCACCCTCTCAGTGATACCACAACAACTGTGCAATTAACAAAATTTTATCTTCCATTCTTCTCTGTGGTATTTTCTGGCTTGTTGTCAGTTAGGGCTAGCTAACTGAAGGCTCTAGGATACTGAGCAACAGAGCATGGTTCTCTCTGAACTCAAACCAAATTTGTTGTGCAAAAAGAGAGAGATAGGAAACAAATGCACAAATCCATATAATCTTTATTTAACACAATATGATGCAAAAACATTGGGCCAGTGTTTCTAGTGAGTGTGTAGAAGCTGTGAGAGATCTGTGATAAATCTTTAAGATTTTCTCTTATGCATGCATTCATATGTAATTTCACTTATAAGTTAAACTAAAAATATAATGAGCTAAATTCCAATCAAGGAACAACCCTGACAATTTAAATAAAAATAAAGGAAAATCCAAGTTAAACTTGGATTACACTTAAAATATAATTGATGTTTAAACTTATTAGTTTAAACAAACCTTACCCTTCTTGGAAGTCAAGGTTTATGGTAAATCCACTTAGCTTGGTTAAATCAGCTCATGCATGGTAAACACCAATGTCAAAACAAATGTTAAAATCAAAATACACTCTGCAAAAACTGTGTACCTGGAGTCTGTATTCTAAAATGAAAAGGAAAACTTGCCCAAATCTGAAGCACCAAGGGCATATATGACTTTATCTTTGAAAATAAATACTACATACAAAGCCAAATTTGCACCTGGCTCCACATTCAAAATGGGGTTTATATATATATTTCTAACATATCATGTGCAATAGACATGACAATCCCTTACTATTATTTATCTGATGCACTGACAAGAAAAAAATTATCTAACTACTTTGCAAGATATCTTTCTTATAAGAGAATGTGGATAACAGCCAGTTAGGTATACACATACCTTTCACTCAAGTAAAAAGAAAGTTGAGTAACTTACTTGAGCTTTTCTCTTTATCCAAAGAGAGAACAATGAAAAATATAGTAATTTAATAACATTTTACATATTAACAAAGGAAGAGGTAATGCATAGTATGGTCCTGAACTATACAAACAAAACCCGAGATTTTTAGGTATCAATATTGAGGAATGACTAACCACATGAACATTTGAACAAATGCCCTAATAAAATATTTGTTTTAATGAAAACTATTAAAGGCTTCAGTATTAAAAGGCCAAAAAACCACAGTCAGAGAAAGTTAGTGAAAATGAAGTTGAAATAGCAAATTTAAGTGTGTTGTACAATTAATAAAAAACATTTTTAAGACAGAAGTCAGAGTGATACACTGTGTCTTGCCATCATCATTTAACTCCATCTTGTTCGGACTACAACATGAGATTTGTTTGCTCTCACAATAGAGCAGTCAAATCATGCTTGAGAATTGCTAGCCAGAACCACCGGCACACCATTGAACATAACAGAGTCTGTATTGGTCAGCCACCTTCCAGTGCAGATGTTCAGTTCTATAATCTTTGTATTGAAAGTAGAATTTCATGATGTCGATTGTATTGTAAAACTGAAAGTCTCAAAATCACACACCAGCCATTTAGAGTGATGATTATAATAAATGGGATGAATCATTTGTCTTCAAGACTATCAATCCAATCATAGATAGAAGAACATGTCTAATAAAATCTGCATGAAAGAATGATGTTGCAAATATTCGTTGTTAGTGTAACCTATAACAACACTACTATGAAGAAAGAACCTGGCAGTTATTTCAAGATAAATACACCTGATCATGACATTGTATTCTAGGGTTGTATGGCTCATATAGGAGATATCTTGAAGCTGAAAACATGATTCAGAATTGAGACAGACTACAGAAACAATGCAAAATCTGTTCAAGACTCTCATATTTTAAACATATTTGACACTGAAATTCAGAAGAAAAAGTATAGATTCCATGTCTCTGAAGCTTCAGTTTGTTTAAACACAACTTGCCTTTCAGCTAATATAATAAAAACTTGGAACAAGTCCCTAAACAGAGAAATAGAGGCACAAACCTTGGACAACAATGGCTTCTGGATGACTTTTTGGAACCTTTGATAAATGAATGAGTGAGGCTTGTTCTATACATCCATAGTTTGAATTACTTGGCATGTACATATTCCATTCACTAAATCAGAAGAGACTCGTATCTTAAACACTGGATCTTGCATAAATGGGAAATAGCCTCTTTGCAAGAAAGGTATGTTCACAAGAGAGGCACTGTCTGATTTTGCTTTGTACAAAAGCAAGAAAGGAGTATTCATTGTCAAGAAAATTATCCATTTTGATGTGTAAATAAAGAATATTTTTTGTGTTCATTGACCAAGATACCAAGATACAAGATGAAGAGTGACTGAGTAATCCTTCTCTGCAAATGGGGTTATTATTTTTAAAAAGTGCAAGTTTACTTGAAAAATAACTGGCATATTAATGTATACATCACAAAATCTAAACATTTTTGCCCAATGCAACTTGGTTTGGAGCCAATCCTATGGACAGTCATGTTCCATTTGTCAATTTCAAGGTAGATATGAATCACTTTTGGGTAGTCATAACCTTCTAATGAGATTATCATATTCACAGAAGTGAAAGATGAGGAGGACCCTGATCAGACTGAGGATACTGTTTGAAATTGGAACAACAGTGAGAAGAGGGTTGATAAAAGTGTACCATGGTCTCTGTGGCCTCTGACACCTTAAGTCATGTCAAGAAATTTATTTTTGTTTGTGGTTATTGGAGATTAACAAATTGGGCAAAGTTTAAGAAGTTTTAATCAGTTTAATATTTAGTATAAATATAAAATCACAAATTACTACATTAACCTGTTTATATTAAAAGCATGAAGTAAAAAACTATTATCTTACTACTACATACATAAGTCAAATGCTTTGTTAATTTTATAAAAGTATTAATCACTCTCACCATTTACCATTATTCACATTACTAACTGTAGTGAAACTATTGATTTTGGATAAGCAGTAGGCCATAAATAACTATACATTTTTGAAATGCTTAAAATATTGCAGTTTTTTAGGAGTCACAAGAGTGCTAATGTGTAAAGTACTGCAATGGATAATATTTCTATTATTATTACCATTTTTTTTAAATTACTAGTAATTTTATGTCATTAGTTAAGATAAGTACTCCATTTAGTATTACTAGCTGACAAACCCTTTCAACATAGGGCTCCCATAGGTGTGACATAGGGTAATCACATCTGACTCCCCCTCCACTACCAGGTACATGCCAGGTTTGGTGGCAGTTGGTCCAGTGATTTATCAATTATAAGCAGATGCACACATACAGACTTTTGTCACATTATGGTTTAAAGTTTTAAGTGTAGTAAGTTATCTCAATCTGTTTTTCAGTGAGATTGGATGTTTTTATAGAACAGTGCTTTATGTAATAAAAGACTTGGTGTAACCCTATTTAAAGATTAGTTTATTGTTTACTCATAATTTTAAATGTTAATTCCAACTGTGATATGGTTTTAAAAATGTGTTGGATAATGCAGTCAACAAACTACAGACAGTATATCACCTGTCATATCTCACTTTGTCTCCACTGATTAATGAAATTATTATGGAAAAATTTCATATTTTACAAAATCACCCCATTATGAAAAACGTTTTCATACATTGATCCTTAGGTACTTATAATCATAATTCACACCTTCATTATTGGCATGCATGGACTAATTTACAGGTTTGTGCATGACACCAACAAAAATTTCAGTAATTTTGGAGTTTCCCTTGTGGCCAGTGCTGTTGTGTGGCTCAGTTCACATTGGTAATTGGACTTTGAAAATTAGACCAAAAGACAAATTTTTCATTAAGTCATCTTTTCACTTGTGTATCAGAGTTGGTTATTTACTATGTAGTCTGTAACCTTTGTTCTTTATTGTAGAATAAGGGAACATGGGTAAATGTTCCAAATAATTTTATTCTATCATTGTTTTTATTCATGAAGATGAGGAAAGGTTTTCCATACTGATAAATTTGCATTAAAATGGAGAAGGATTTTTTTGTCAATTTCTGTTTGTGTTAAGTTTCAGAAATTGATTAAGTTTCTTTTTTTTCATATTTTATTCACTATCTAGATGTGCTGACATGGTTAATAAATTGCTGATTCTTTATTTGAATAAAATGTTAACTTTCAGTTTGGTTCTTATGATAACTGTATAAACTATTTCTTTTATAATAATGCATATTTAAATGTTAAATACAAGCTATGAAACTAATTCAAATGCCAATTTTGTGACACCAAAATGATCTTTTTAGTAAGCTGCCTTTTTTAAATTTAAGTACCCTTCACATAGTGTTTTACTTGTACCATATATTGAATATTGCCAACTAACATTTCTGGTTGATTGTTTATTATAGGTATAAAACACCAACACGTACGCCTAATCTTTCAAGTATAGTCATGACACAATCAAAAGTAGGACTTGTTGGGTGTGGTACTCTAGGTGGCAAGATGGCAGGTATATCATCTTTTTTCTTGTATACAATTAATATGTATTGAAATGTTTAGTAGACATTCAACTGGAAGTAGTTGTTTATATGGGACAATAGCATTGTATACACACACCAAACATATGTATAGGGTGCAGTTGTATACATTTACAGTGTAATGGAAATATGTTAAAGTTTTTATATGACAGCAAGGCAGACTAAAACTGTAATTTGTTAATATAACAGGCTATAATTTGAGACAGAATTTATTTTTAGTTCTTGATTCAGTAATCAAATTTACTATTTTAAATAAACAACAACATATTTCACATTAATGTACATCTAACAGTTGTATATCCAAAATGTTAAATTATTTTAGCTTTAGATAAGTGTTTGACATTGTAATTTTTTTGTATCTAAAAAAATTGAAAAATGGTACAGCATCAAAAACAGTCTGCAGATTGTAGAATTTTTTATGAATTCTTTGACTTTTCATTATTAAAAATGTCATTGTTATGTACATAGTAAGTTAGATATTTTGATCTAATTAAACATTCATTGTTGACATTGTAGGTGACTTTGCTTACCATGGTCATGAGGTGTGGGTGTATGACCAAAATTCTTCAGCTTTGGATAACTTGGTAGAACGGCTAAAGTATGACAGGGAAGAGTTAAGAAAAGATAACTTGTTAATGCAAACAGAGTTTGTAGTATGTAAAGTTTTGTACACTTTTATATTTTTCGTTTTATACACAGAGTGCATGTAGATTTAAGTAACTAGTCACATACTACATACACTTATCCAGTATAGGATTTCTGTAACATTTCCATAAGAAAGTAACTTGTACTTCCATTTACAGTTTATTTCTTTAATTAATACATCTTACATCTGTCTCAGCAATTATTCATCTTACATCGTTATAGAAAGTACGTTAAATCACACGGTAAAAAGAGATATGTTGAAAATTAAAACTGGTAACAACAGAATCATTTTATCTGAGAAAGAAAATATTTTATTCTGAAATGTTTTGAGCTGTTTGTTGGAACTTGTTTTGTTTTGTGTAGCTTTTAGCTTGTCACTGTGTTAGTTAGTTTTGAATGATTTATAAACTAGTATTTTACTTTTGGTAGCTTTTTTTTTTACTTTAAGAAATTAGTTCAAAAATGAGATTTTACTTTTAAGGTAATATGGACTTATAATTTATAATTATTTATTAGGGAAATGTGTATTATATGAACAGACTAGAAAAGACTGTCAGAAAGTCAGGCTTCATATTTGAAAGTGTAACTGAAGATTTGGAGATCAAGCAAGACATAATTGAACGTAAGTAATAAAGTTAAATACATAAAATATGATTTGCATCTTTGTTGTACTTCATTGGTACTAGATTGTGAAAGGAAAAGAATAAACGTAAATTGGAATGAGCAAGGTTCCAACAACCCTTTTCACATTTTTTACCAATTTTACAGATGTTTAAACAAATGAATTTAATTCAACAGGATGTACCATCTCATAATGCAAATCATTTTATGAATTTATGGTTCTGGCAAGTAAATAGTTTTCTAAAAAAATTGGGATACAAGATTTAAATGCTTTATGACTATTTCTATCAATTCTTCTCCATCACTCTGTAGGCTAATTATCCAATCCTCTAACAATTTTATATACCTGAATCAAACCATCTCTATTCTTCAGTGTTCCATAGAAAATAAGTCCAAGCATTTAAACTTCATTTTATAGCTCAGAATTACAAAACTAGGTATCACATTATTCATCTCAACTATTTTTCTACCATGTTATTCTTTTAGTAATGAGACTAAAATTACCAGTATTTCCAATGAGGCTTCACAAGAGGCTTATGAAAAGCTAGATAATCATTTTGCTTGTAAATTGAAAATTCTAGAAACAAATTTACTAGTTTTCTCATCTTTTTCACTACAACCAAATTTAATTGAAAGTTTTAGACTATATTAAGCAAATTTTTCCACAATGCCAGTGCTCCTTCCACATGGAAGGAGGTCTTTTCAAAATTTCCCAGACCAAGAATGACCTAGTGGTTAGAATGCATACTATGAATCTGAAGGTCCATAGCTCACATCTCTGCTGCAAAACTGTTCTCCACACTTTGGGTTCTGATTAGAATAGCCCAAGAGTGTGTGGTGGTTGCTATAAATTAGTTACCTTCCCTCTAGTCTATCAATACAGAACTATGAATGGCTAGCAGAGATAATTCTAGTGCAGCTCTATGAGAATATCCAAAAGAAACAATCAAATAACAATCCATAACCCATATACCTTACTTTATGTGTCTCAATATTTTCTACAATATGGCCCATTCATGAAAACTGTTAGGGATCTTTCATATAAGAAGACATATTCTCAACAGACTGAGATCTTGGGATTAATTCTATCAGCATATTTAGAAACATTACTGAATATTCAAGAAACTAGTCAAATCATTGACATAAATAATGAACCACAAAAGTCTCAAAACAACTGTAAGATCTTGATCTATAAAATAAGAAATTGTTAATAATCTTTTTATGTGGCACCTTATCAAAGTAGTGATGGGAGTCATCATTTATAATTAATAGATTATAATCAAAACCCACTACAAGTTGGGTAGGCAAAGAAATATTTCAAATGGTTATACCTGATTTCTTAGTGCTTTTCAGAATGATCTCTGATAATAGATAATTCAATAACTAGCAGTGACCCGCAAAACATTAACTATCAAATTAGTATCTTTATTGCAACAGTATTTCTTTAAATACAAGATTTGTAGAATAATAGAAATGAAAAGTAATCATAGACACAAAAATGTGCAAGTCCACTTGTATTTAGATCATATTTTATAAAACCTTAAATAATGTTAGCCCTAAATTCGATAAAGAGTTAAATTAACACTGTACCGTGCATGTTTTTTAAATTAGCTTAGTTAGGACAAAATATACTATAGTTAATACTATTTATAACTAAACTTATAATGTTACTCTGGGATCTAACATTGGACCTTCAAGCTTTTAATTTTATTGTACTAAATGGTTAATAAAGAATATTTACATCCACCTTTTTTTTTGTTATTCCTTCATTCATAGAGAAGTTGTAGTGACTTGTTTGTTGAGCTTTCTGGTGCAGGCAGGCACTTGCACTGTTTTTCTGGGTAAAATTATTTGTTTATAAGGCATACTGACGGCAGATTTATAGTATGACAAGATTTTGGTGTCTGCGATTAGAATTCTTTTGTATCATTCTAGAAATCTTGTATTTCAAGAAGTACTGTTGCAATAAAAACAATAATCTGAGTGCAATTGTCTTGTGGGTCTCTTACAATCTATTACAATAATACTCACTTTTGGTCCGTCATGATAATCCATGTGCACCTTATTATCTAAATACACATGTATGCACATGCCATTTCTATAACAGGCACATGAACAAGTGTATTATTATATAGATGATAAAAGAAAAAGATTGAAACCAAACAAGTCCATATTTGTCCACTTTGTTTTTTCATTAAGTAGGGATTAATAATCTTGTAATTATCAGAAATCATTCCAAAAGCATTTGAAAGATAATGGATAAAGCTCTGATCTGCATCATTAATTGTCATCTTCAAAGTTTTATTATAAATCTTGTCAGGCATAGTCTTAAGAAGCTTTTAAAGCTTTTCAGAAACAGCTAATTCTTCACTGCTAACAGAATTAGTTTGTCACCCATATATGTTTTTTCTCTTAAACTCTCCCACTTTTGTTTTTTATTGCATGTAAGTCAAGACTTGTCTATTTATATAGTTCTTTGCCTGGATCACAGTAGATTTATGTTTGGGAAAGCATAAAAGGGTGAGAGTAATGGGTATCACTAATCAATGAAAAACTGTTGTGCTGTGTCAAACTTTCCTATGTTACTATTGATCAAACACAATACAGGAGTCATATTGTTACTGCAGGTCATTGATTTCCATTTGGCAGAAGTATATTTAGTACATCCAGGGCATAATGTTTTTCATTGCCTATTGGCTGGGGAAAGCAAAATTTATCGTGGTAAGCAAAAAAAAAATTGATATTGGCTATGTCATTGAGTATAAAAAATGCCATATGAAACTGCTGGCTGTGTCTACTCAGCTTAAAGCACAGCAGTATATGATTTCTGTAAGAATTGCATATAAAAGTGCTTGCTTATGAATTAACACAACACACATAAGTGCAGATTTGCTCTTCACAGTTGAACCAAATGTTGTTATTGTGTTTTTATTGTTAGCATGTACAGGTTTCGTTGTTATCCATAAATGCCATGAGTTAGGTAGTGCATATATTAAATCGTATATCAGATCTTATACTAAGTATCATACTGTGGTTGGATATGTATCTATTTTTGTGTTAGACATTTTGTAGATTATAGATTGTTACAACATGTAATCATTTATTAAGACAAAGATAACCTCTTTGTTTTTATTCTTCTACTAAACCAATGTTTGTTTAATTATTATAACTCGTGGAAAGTTTGATTTTTTTTTTATATTGATAATGGACAGCACAAGTTAAGCCAAGCTTAGAAAGATCAATTAGAAAAAAAAAATAGCTGTTTTAAATGGTGACACATTAGCTTGCTGTCAGTGAGCAATATGTTCATATTATCTGATAAGTATTCAGCAATCTAACATGAGCTGATACTGATTAGTTTCAGGTTTTTATAATGCCATTATTGGCATTCCACATATTTCCAATCAAATCTAAAAACTGTAGAGACAAATGTTAAGAATATCAATATTTTTTGATACTCAAATTCCAATGTCAAAATGTCATTAATAAAATTATTCATGACAGAAATATTAAATTAAGTTCAGTAGGTGTTACTTGACTTAATAATCAGATTAAAATATAATGCTTAAGACTATTTGTGGTGTAAGTGTTGAAATGACTGATCAATTATAGTCCATTATATGGTGAAATAACTTGAGTAAAGAACATGGATATGAAGTGAATTTCAGATCATTAAACAATTTATTTTCACTTGTAGTTAATATTAAAGAGGAGTTAGTGCATTATATTAAAATGGGATTTTAGCTTCACCATGTTGTTACAGTCCGTATCATACTGTGTCTGATAGCAATAGCCCTGCAACATAGCTTCCATTACAAAATGATCCATTGTAAGGCTGTTCTGTCTAAAGCGTACCACTCCTCCTCGTACATTTTGCATAATCAACCTAGTGTGTGAAGACGATAAGTTTCCAGTGCCTGATTTAGTTGTCTGATCACAGAGAAATTTATAGTTGCTGCATTGACAAATGGACTGATGTCTCTTGATATGAAATAAATAGCATGAATACCTGTTTCATTCTCTTGATGCTTGAGGTATGCATCATTTGAATGGGAAGTATTACTGGAAGTGTCATCTTGGTGAAACCATTCTCCATTGGCCTTATTTACAGACCAAAATCCATATTGATTATGTTTCACACTATTATTTCAGGCACATGGATGGCTTTTGTCACTGATCTTTGTGTTTGTGGATTGATTCTCACTTGTTGTCAAGGGGACAGAGACTCGGATGTCTAAAGATTCTGCTGCTTAGTCTTTTGTATTACATTCATTGCAATTGTAATGATCTTGAGTGTACCTGTCAAATGTGTTTAAGAAAGTTGATCAACATGTCAGTATGTCTTTTTATGTGTATTTAGCATATTTTGAGTGTGTTAAAATTTCATTCCACTTTTTGAACAATATTTTCTGTAAAGCTGTAGAAATAAAAAATATACTACCCGCAATTGTCTTATAAGCCCACTGTTACAAAAGTAATGATTGTGTGACTTCTATAAATAATAATATTGTAACTATACGTTGTGAAATTTAGACCTTTACATCACATATAAGAAAAACCTATGTCAGAATTATAAAATACATATATATCTTCTTTTCCGCCAATTGTCAAAATAAAAGGCTTTTACTTATATTTTTTAATAGTATAAATATATACTATGTTGTTGTTGGACTTACGATTTTTCTACAGTAGGTGTCTGTAACTTGTTGGCAATGAATTCAATGATAAATGAACAGCATGCACTTCATTTGTTTTCAAAATAATATATATATATATATATATATATATATATATTCGGAACAAGTTAAATGTATGTACAACAAAGTCTTTGCTATAGGCATATCATAAACATTATATATGTAGTTCTCTTCTTGTCAAAATTTCACTTAGGCTTATTCAGTTACTTTAGAATTGCAGTTGACAAGCCAAACTATCTTCTCTATTACTATCTCACTAGTATTCTGTGTGTGATTCACTTATACTCATGGTGCAAGTTACCATGATCGTTTGGTCTTTTTTCTTCTAAATATTCTCTGCACTCAGACTGATTCAATTACTTTAGAATCACGCTTGGAGGAATAAATTATTCTTCTTATCTCCTTTTCTACTGTTAGTCTTACTCTACATATTAAATGTTAGGCCTATCACTTCCACGTTAGTTAACTTCAAGCCAAACTTCTCCTTGGCCTGTGTACTCTTTTTTGTTATTATCTGTCTGCTGTTTCCACCTGTCTCACACTATTTATATGTCTATAACTTAATCGTCTGCCCACCTTCTATATTCTCGATGTAAATATATTGCATGAGACGTTTAATAGTCTCAACATCAATGACTTATAAACACAACTTCCTACAATCGTCCTGCTTTTAACTCTTATTATAACAAAAAGTAAACAATAATAAGATATTCACTCACAAAAATAAATAATATCTAAACTAAACAGTCTTTTATATTATGACACCCTAAGTATTAACGGTTTTAGTCCTAAAACATGAAACTTTAAAATACTCAATATATTTTATCATACAAAGTAAACTAATCATAGTGTGTCATGTGATTACTTAATTTCTTTCATACAAAGATGTGATCACTTCATGATGAATCTGTAAAACAATGAGTAATAGCATAGTTCAAAAGGATGTGATAGTGAGTGCTTTTGTAGCAGGAGTGTTATGATCAAACACCATTTCTTTGACTAACAGTTCAAAAGCATTTGTCAACAAAGCAATCAAAAGTGAATATATTTGCCACAAATTAAACCATCCACCAATTGCTTGTTTCTGACTGGGGAAAGAGAATGAGTGAACAAATTGTAAAATGCAACAAACATTAGACTGTGTTTTGTTCACCAAAATATTTGATCCAATTTCTGATCATACTCCTTGATGAATAGACTAATTCAAGTAAATATCTTCCTTCATCTTGTGGAGAGTATGCCACATTGAATCCAGGCTTTTGTTGAGAAAGGTAGTCAAACCTAATGCCAGACATGGGTCCTAATAAAGTTGAGAGTCAAGTGTCCTTTCCAAACATTAAGGGCAT